GGGGGGGGCAAGGAAAACATGTTCTGCTTTTCTTTTCTGTTCATAGGGATGGAAAAGCAATGTTCCGGGGTCCCAAAAACCCCCGTGCCCGGGCCAAACAACACCCGGGCGGCTGAAAGCAAACGGCCAGGGGTGGGAGGGGAGAAAAGCACACGACTTCCTAAGATTGGTGAAATAGGGGTTGATTTAAACAGGGGGGGGGCGAAAAAACTAGGAGCCCATTAAAAAAACTGTCTTTCTGTTTATAAGATCTAAAAAGACCCGTGCTCTGACCAAGGGTTCACAGGGATAGTTGTGCATGTCTGACCTGTGCTGTTGTTTGTACGTCTTACAACACCACTATAATTGACAACGAACAACGAAGGGGAAAGCCTGTGTTTTCCAACCGCTGGCTTGGAGGGTTCTGAGGAGAGTTTGGAAACTGCAGTAGTTCGTGTCCTGGACATCACGAAACTCTGTAATGCTTAATGAAATCTTTTAACTCCAAACCCTAAGACTCACGCAACACTGCCCTGCTCCAAACAATCCAAAATTCTGGCATCTATGACAATCTATGAATGGGCGGGGGTCAAAGTTCTGCAAGCTTTTGGTTTTTTGCATTAAAGTGTTTCGTGAGTTTTAGGGTTGGGAGTTTCGGAATTGTTGAACATTGCAGTGCTTGGTGAGGTCCAGGCACGAAACACTGCATGCTGTGTCAAGAAACTCGTGAAACACTGCAATGCTCAAAAGTTTCCACTATTCCCGACAACAAACCACTGCAGTGCTCAAAAAAATCCAATTTGCTGGCATCCATGGCTGGTTGGGGGGGGATTTCTCCAAAGTTTTGATATTTGGGAAGTTTTGAGCAGTACACTGTGTTGCGTCCTGAAACTCACGAAACGCTGCCATGCTCAAACGATTCCAAGTTCTCAACCCTAAAAAACTCACGAAACACTGTAATGCCCAAAGAATTCCACAGTGCTGACATCTATGGCTGGGTCGGGGGGGGGGGCGATTTCTCCAAACTTTTCGAGCATTACAGCTAGAGTTTCGCAAGTTTCAGGAATGGAAAGTTTGGGTATACATACATACATACATACATACATACATACATACATACATACACACTTACTTTCTTACTTGCTTACTTACACATGTACATACTTACAAACGAGGTACGTATGTACATACTTACTTGCGTACATACATGCGTACATGCATACATACATACATACATAAATACATACATACATACATACATACATACATACATACAGACATACATACACACATCCATATCTATACATAGATATATACATATAGATGTATATTATATGTATGTATGTGTATATATATATATATAGACGTGTACGCATTATGATCTGTATTCCCGGGCCTTCGGCCAATCAAGCGGCCAGTCAGCCTTTGCACCTGGGAACAGTGCAGCCGTTTTACAGACTATGTGAAGACGAACGCCCACTGCCTCTCCCGTGACAAAAAGGAGTATCTATATTTATCCGTCAGTCAAGAGTTTACGGTCATTTACGGTCGCATCATGTCGCATCTCAACATGAAGGAAAGATCCAAGCTTCACTTTGGGACGCAGTGGTAGTTTCTACACATTGCTTTCTGCACTCAGCTTGGCTGACTTCTGTGTCAGCAATGTGCTAGCTTGAGGCTACTCTACATGCCTTGGCAGCTGGGGGTGCATGATATTGTGCCAGCTGCCTCACCCAGGGCTGGCTGCTGGACTGAGCCTCGCTCCTTTGCTTGGCCAAGTTGGCTCAGCCGCGAGGTACCCGCCTGTGTCTGTCAAGCACTAAGACCAATAGCTTGGCTTGCAGCACTCGCTGGCAGCATTGGAATCACGGTAGCCTGTTTTTCGAGCATTGTGAGTCTATGCAAAGTTGAACTGGCTGCGATTGGCAGACATTCTGGGTCTTCCCCAGGACGTCACGGCTTTGCGCAGAGTCTTCCAGATGTACATGTTAAACAGACCAGCGGCAAGATGTCCATCTGGCTCCTCCATGTTTGGTTGGAAGCAATCAGTGTGACTGATTGGGCTAAAACGATCTACACATCATTTCACAGTTGCACTGTCTCCGCATTCCGGGCTCGGCTCACCTCACGCAAAACCTAGCCTTTTTTTCTGCTCTTCAAGGATGCTGCTTGCCTTCCGCATGTCTTCACTGAGCTCCTCAGCACCAAGCGTTTCTGCAATGGTGTCCACGCAGCGCCGCAAATCGTGCCAGAAGGTGAATGCAAGCTTGAGGTCTTCCACAGGCTGCACGCAGCAGGGGAAACGCTTGCCCACGTCAGCTGCGAAACTGTCGGCATCCTTCTTGTATTCCAAGAAGTACCGCACTACAATCCCCATGCAGGCCCGAGGCAGCATAAAGGTTGGCAGCTCTGCTGGAACATGCGGGTATGAGTCTCTGTGCACTGGCGATGCGCACATGAAGCCTCTGGGCAACAACTTGACTTTGGCCAAGTCTTTCAGCAGAACGGATGCCAAAGCTCCTTCTACCATCTGTCGCAGAGTTCGCTTGAGGACGCGCACCAGGGCGTGGAAGGCTGCTAAGTCGAAATCAACGTCCGAGTCCCACATGATGTTTCTGACTCTCATGGGCACTAAGGACATGACGCGGCAAAGGAGCAGCATTCCACAGACCTTGTCCTTCTCGGCTCCGTCCAGCTGGCTGGATGTTGGATATTTTACTTCTGATGGAAAAGGCTTGTCTGGATGCGCTGCTTCAAACGGCTCCCCATTGAGTTGGCCGTATTTCATGAGCTCCAGTGCCGTCAGGCACGGCTCCGTTAGGTTCCTTGGGGTGTCCTTAAGAACATCACTGAGAACTGTTGCCCCACCATCCTCGGCCGAGATCAAATCCAACTTCTCCAAGACGAGGAAATGCACCAAAGCACTTAAGGAGTGGAGGTGGTCGTCGAAGGACGGAGGCTGCGGCTCCTTGATGCCTTGCATGAGTGGACCATCTTGTTCAAACTCACGCGCATGCCAGTTCAAGCAAAACTTGAAGTCCACTTTGTCCACCTTCTGGCGGCTCATCTCAGCCTTCACCGACTGGTAGGTGATTTTCCATCGAAGCCCCTGCTGGATGTCTGGCTGGATGACCCGGGCATCGGGAGGTAGGTTCGCATCAGTTCCGAGCGCCTGCCGGATGTTGGTGGGCTCCCAATATGCCTTGCAAAGGATGGACTTGTTCTGGAAGCTTTTGTGCAGGTGCTGGGCGATCAACCCCAAGGAGGTCCTGCGGTAGTCCTGCAAGTCTGTGAGCAGTGATCGGAACTCATTAGTGTCAATGAGTGGCTGCGATTTGTCCGTCCACTCTCCCTTGGCAAGGGCTTGGGGAAGCTTGTGGGAGATGATACCATGCAACATCAGATAGTACAGGCTGGGAGGCAGCTTCTGACCCATAATGGAGGAAAAATCGTTGGGGACCGATGGAGGCGCACCCTTCGAAGATGCTCCGAGTGGACGAATGGCATGATCCTGGAGATGAAGCACCGGGGAGTTCTGGACCAGGACTTTGCATATGCAGTAGCCGTCCACGTGGTCGCTCTTCATGTCCTCAGTCGGGAAGGTCTGCATCCAATTGATTAGCGGAGCCTGCCGGATGATGTACACGGCGGCATCAAAGTTGAATCGCTGCCCCTGCTGGGCGACGGAGGCACCAAAGGGACTCAGGTTTAGATAAGGATAGGTGAGGCAGTACTCGGTGCCTGCAAGCATGCATGCATCCACGAACTCATCCCATGAAAGCTGCCACTTCGCCAGCACACTATCCAAGTCCACCCAATCAAAAGACTGTTGGCCGAAGTTCAGGTGGATCACGACCGACTTGACACCGTAAAGGAGCAGGCCGGGCGGCCCGAAGACTGTTTGCACGATGCCTTGCTCTGCAAAGTGTGCGAGCTGAGCACCGGCAAAGTATGGGGCCTGAAGACATTCATAGCCCTTCTGGCGTAAGTGGTGGAAGATGAAGTAGACAAAGTCCCCGTTGATGCGGCTTGTCGAAACTGCAAAGCATTTCTGTGCCGCCGACTTGTCTCCAGAGGCTAGGTAATTCCAGGCCATGTCCATTTGTTGATCCATGCGGCTGACGAACATAGAGTGCTGTGGTCCCGGCGCCACACCTTGGAACACGAAGAGCGGTGTGATGCCCCACTCTTTGAAGCTCTCTAGCTCCTTATCCACAAACCCAAAGATGCCCGGCGGTATGCCGCCAAGAGCATCAGCAAAGGGATCCTTCAGGGCCTGTATCGATCGCAGCCAGAACACCGCGTCCACACCCACTTGAACATTCTTAAGCTCGTTCAGCTTGCCGCTGTTTACCAGGCCCTGATCGGCGAGGTGTGTCTGGAGATGTCTCACGCGCATTATGCTGGCACCTCCCAACCCGTTCAATGGCTCATGTGCAAAAGGCCCAAATGTGAGCCCAAATGCCTCCAGCAAACACTTTTCGGTTGAGCATGCTCTTATGCAAGATGCTAGACACTGCTGTCGAAATCGAAGTTGCAGACAAGACCAAGGGTGCGGACTGCGGAATTCAAAGCGAAAGGTGGCATCGAGTATGCAGCGAGACATGCTTGTGCTGATTCATCCGTCGCACGGCCTCTTGCTACTGGGATCAACTGTTTGCTGTCTGCCTGGCGGGAATGGGCGGTACTCTTTGTGTCTGTGCCAGGCCCTCAGCCCTTGCAGAACAGCATGCACTGAAGCTTCAACGGCGAAAACCTGCTGTCGCGTCTGGTCTGAAGCCACTTGACACCAGAAGCCCATGGCAATCTAACCGTGGCTAAGGCGCCTGTTTCGCCACATTCGCATCCGCGGCTCGATTCGCTCCATCCTTGGCACCGCTTCTGTTTCACTGCCGACTCTCAGAGCTGTGGTCTGGCCGAAACGTAGCAAGACCAGGCCAGGCCACCACCAAGTCTTGCGGCTCACGCGCATCCACGACAAGCAGTCGAGGCGGAGTCGGAAATGCACTCATCACCAGACCTTGGAGACGGGAAGTCTCCAGCCCACTCGTAATCTCTTACACAGAAGGTCAAAGACAAAGACAATAAGGAGACATATGATCCACGAATAGCAACCTGCTGACGGAAGGAAACGCATTCGCATCCCAAGCCGTTTGCCGGGAAATGCACACATTGACATTGCAACCGCTTCGCACATTTTCAAGACCCCGTGGCACCAAAGCAGATATGAAAACTCGCACACATCGTTTGTTCAGCTACTGCGACAGCTCCGTTTATCTGCTTGTGCTGCCAGCTTCGGTAGATGAAGTTCTGTTTTAGAAACTTTCTGCGCCTGCTGAGAATACTGTGCCTGCTATCCAGAGTTCGAGTGCTCTGCGGCCCTGCCCACGATACTGCTGCAAATTTGAAGCATGCGAGAAGCAAAGAACTGCATTTGACCCTTCCATTGAGGAGCTGGTGGCGGCTTCAAGGCCTTCCATGCGTGCTTGCTCCTCGAACGTTGCTCGGCAAACTGTCGCGCTCTTGCCAAGTTGCGCTGGACCGTTGGCTTGAGCACAGCCTCTGCGCTTGGACAGGTACGATCAGGTACTGTTGTGCTCATGCAGGCATACAGGTAAGAGAACTCGATTATTTCCAGCGGCATATCGCGAATCATCTCGCATTCGCACAGTCGGATCCCGGGAAAGCCGATCCGGACCTCAAACAGTCCAGAAAGGTTCTGACAGGCGAGGACTTCAAGCCGTAGACCTGCTATTGTTGAGAAACTTGGCACCCCAGCACCAGTGCACAAACACCAGGTCGTCTCGAGTGTAAAGAGCGAAAAAACATGACCTCGCTTCAGTAAAAGTCATCTTTCGGCTTTGAGGCTTGGCATGTGCCGGCAACGACTCTGCAGATTAGACACGTCGAAGGCAGCTCTGCCTTCGCCAGCTGTGCCGGTGTTTGGCATTCCATGACCTGCCAGATTTTATTGGGCTCAGACAAGAAGCTAAAATCTGACGCAATTACATGTCACAATGTGACCGTTGAAGCATCATGGCAAAGGTATGTTGCTGTTCGGCTTACTTCTTGCACCATCTGGGAAGGTGGCCTTGGCTTCCATAACCGGCGTGTTGTTCGCACCCGCCTTCCGGTTCGTCAAAGGAATTCATAGCAGTTCCGGCTTCACCAGCGACTGCGAGAATCAGATCACATATCCACAGCCACACTCAGACCCGGCTGACTACGGTGGGAACAAAGCTGGCGACATTCTCGACATCGGCTGTTCTCGCATTCTGCAATTCACGCTTCACCTCTCCAGTCGCGGCGAGCCGGCTCAGGGAGAGGCGCGAGGAGAGGACCAGCTTCAGGCAACCTCTCACAGCATTTCTTGGCTGCCTCGAACTGTGAATCTATCATAGGACCGCCGTGCTGGGAATAATATGGCCAAGGGGCTGTCCTCTTTCTGCACCAGGCGTTGCAGCAGCCCTTGTGCTGCTTGCGACAATCGTAGCGGCCTCAATTGCATCTACTCAAGACAGAAATAAAACATGTTCTTGCAACACACCGCATGCCTGATCCATGCGCATGCCGCTGCTGGACGCTCTTAGCAAGTCAGTCTTGCCCTGCACGTGCTTACTGAGAGTAGCGCGCTGGCAGAAACTCCTTGCTGCGCAGTCAACAAAACTCATGGCCACACAAATCCACGCCCTGATGCATTGCATTGCTGTAGCGTGTAACAGTGCTGGATCCAGCATGATGGCTGCTACAGAACACAACGTGGAAGCCGTGATTCCCAGGTCGATTCTTGTCCCATATCGGAAAGTGCATGAAAGCAGAAAGCCCCGAGGAGGCCTGGCAGCAAGCGAAGAAGAGGAAGCATAAACAAGATTAGCCTATGTAGCTGTGACTACCTGTGATTATTCCGGACTATTTCAGATTATCGCAGTGATAGGTTTTTTCGCCCTCGTGTCCCCAGAAAAACTCCCTGGCACCCTGGCAGTATGTTCAGGAATTTGCTCTGCGAGTCTCTGTGTGATGGCTTGGGCTTCCCAAGTCAAGCTAATTATTATTTGCGAACACACGAAATTCTGCGGGGTGGTTTCAGCGGCTCAGCCGTGCTATGGTTCGGAAATCGGGCAACGCCCGTAACGCCCTGGGGTTGCTGCCGCAGGCCATGGCCCTGGCTTTAGCCGTGGAGCGGAATGCAATGCCGCCGACCCCTGCATCATGGGACCCTCGTTTCCGCGCGGGACCTGGTTGGGAGGCTTACCCGGCAACGCAATGCAACGCACACGTTTTGCGGCCATTCCCCATGCTATGGTGTGCTTTGGGGCACCCGCGGGCGACGCCTGGGCGGCACGCGGCGAGCATCATGAGCACCCGGTGCGCGCGCAGCGGCCCATCAGGCACAGGCCGATGTTGTCGGAGGTCGGGAGGGGTACCGTAAGGCCCCTGATGCTCTCACTGGAAGGCCTCCCGCGCGCGCAATGATGCTGGCCAGGGAGGCGGCAGAGCGCGCGCGCCACGTATGCTCATGATGCTGGCCAGGGCAAGAAGGGCAGGAGGAGGGATCAGGGGAAGGCGGGGGGGAGGGAGGGGCGCCCCCCCCTGCCCCCCGCCCAAAAACTGAATGAATATACTCTAAAAACTAAGAGTCTGTGGGTCGGGTTCAGAAGTCTGATCCTAGGCTTCTCGCGGTTTGGGATGGTCGCCCTGAAACGTGCCCGCGTTGCCCGACTCTGGGTGCTTAAGTTTAAGAGTCGTGCCGCTTTGCGCTGGGATGAAAAGGAGGTTCAAGTTGCAGTATCAGTGAATAAGCTAGTGCCTTTGTCGAAGCTGATTGTCGAATTTCTCACTTCTCTGCCAACGCTATGTCTGCTGAGCTTCCTCTGCAGCGGCATGCTGCACCGCCAGCTCAGCATGCTCCCTTGGCCTCCGATGGCAGCCCGCAGTGTCAGTCTCACAAAGGAGTGGCGACGTATCGACCAGGAAGAGCTACCCATTCTGCGTGTGACAGCTCGCTCCCATGAAAGTCAGCAATCCCCAAGTCTGCAAGCAAGGCCTTGTTTGTGCCAAGACTTTTGCAGCGACGGGCCTGAGACACGCTGGCAGCGGCAATTTGCAAAACTTCCAGCGCCAAAGCCGTCAAGTCTAAGTCCGGACGAAGAGGCCAGGACAAGCTCTTCGAATCTTTGGCGAGGAGCTCGCTTAGGAAATACCTGAACGAAACCATGGGATAGCACGGCAACATGACTTCACCCACCGACATGAACGAACACAAAAACAGAAAGATCCTCAGGCATTCTTTAAAGAGATGTCGTAACCCAAAGCAGCAGGATCCGTGCATAAGCTCAGATTGATTTCTGCAGACAGAGTCACGGCCGCTGCACAAGGTCAGCCAGCATGCCGCGGCTTCGAACGTACCTGTAATTTTTTTCAGCTGTAGGCCTAGGGTGAGACTTCACGGCGTTGGGTCCGTCAGGTGTATGTCTAGGGTGAGTCTAGGAGGTGCCAGGCTGCTTCGAAAACCACCGGTGCATCAATGAAGCCTGCCGTCCCCCACCGGCCTTGCCCGGTCCACCTCTGGTGCTGACTCCGGCAGCCAAGCCAGCAACAGCCAACGAGAGCCTTGATTCATCCAAAGTTCATCTGTGAACTCTGAGACTCTGGAGACGGATGGAAAGTGTACCCGTGCAAAAGAGACTACTGACTACGTTCTCCCACGCTCGATTTATGAGCTCAAGTGCTAACGAACGGATGGCCTTCAACATTCTCGCACAGGTCCGCCCGGAAGAGAAGCAGACTCGGCTTGTCCGGTTCAAGGAGAATCTTGACCTGGCTGCATTCTTTGGGTCGTTGTCTGCAGTTTCACGGACGGACCGTATTGCTCCTCGAACTGGTTCGTCTTTTGCACTCCGGAGTCGACGTCGACACGAAGCATCCAAGCTGTTGAGAAGAGAGAGCAAGGATTGCTTGAGTTAAATGAGGACTGCCAGCGGATCATGCAGATAAGCGGCACATCGCTGGAACTCCTCTGCCCCGCCACATGAATTAAACTTGAGAATTGAGAACCATCAGGGATGATCAAAGCATAGCGAGGTTGAGCAGCACAAGACTGGGGACTACCTTTCTGACACTGCTCCGAAACTGAAACTGTCCTTGTCGAGGGCAGCACCTGCTTCCTCCGGTTGTGAATTTGCAAGTGCCTGGAATTGCCAACACAGCAGATCTGCTCCAAGTTGCAAGTAGCTACTGGGTGACCGAACGCCCTAATGCACCTCACCCCGGCAGAAGGTAGCTCACCCCAATGTGACACGTCAATCTGCGAAAGCCACCCCAGGCCTGCAAAAAGGCACCCCAGGCAAAGCGAATCCCGAATGTGACGCGTCTGTGGCGTGACGTTTTGAAACATGCGGCAAGACAGGGAAATGCACGCGTCGCGCAGGGCACCACTGCAAAAGTCTCTGTGTTGAGGCATCAAACATGTCTGAATTTCCAAGGAGACGCCCTTCACAGCAACCCACACTGTTAATCCCAAAACCCTCCCAACATGTAGACGCTCGATTTCGCAAGCCACATGTCGATGGTAATCAAGCTCAACAAGAAAATTCCCCATGTACACGCTCGATTTCGCAAGCGCCCGCTCCAAACACATATCCGTGGCAGCACAACACATCAAACTCAACCATTCTCCATGTAGACGCTGGATTTCCTGGATTTCGCAAGCATACATCAACATGGCTTTCCATGTAGCCGCCGCATCAGCCAGATTGCATCCACTAGAGGCTTTGTGCTACAGTTGTCGGTGCATACTTTGACTTTCCGGGTTGGAGCTTCCAGCGAACGAGTGCTGGGTGCAGGTCGCGAGATTCGGGCGTTAGGTCCGCAAGACAAGACTGCTTTTCAATGCCTTTCAATCCCCCCCCCCCTCCCCCGTGGGGCTGTTTTTGGTCGATGCACGCAAAGGGAGAACAAGCTGCTGTTTGCATGATTGCGGAAAGAGGACTGTGTGAGGCCAGGGCACAGGGCTCTCGAGACATGTGTAGACAAACATGCCAGAAAAGACAGTCTACACATGCTTGCTATTCCAGGAGGGTCACTAGCGTGTAGGCAGTCGGGGCTGCAGCTCCACTCGCCACGGAGCCTCCCGCGGTGAAAGCATCGTGAGGCAGCGGATGAACAGCAGAAAGTCTGAGACACAGAGAAACAAGGCAGCTTGGAGCAAAGCGCCTTTCTGGACAATGATCGCCTTCACGCACCGAAGAGATCGCGAACGAGCTGCACGAATCGTGTTGCGCAGCTGACTGTCCACGCTTTCGGCCATGGCAGGTTGCCCGCTCGCAGATCATCACAAGAGTGACACGAGAGCGTTGATATCAAGCCGTCTATTGAGTCTGCGAATGTCTGTGACTGGCCAGGGGTGGCCAGAGATACGGGGTTGACGAGTTCATGTGCCAAACATGATCTGGTCTCGTCGAGGCTCGAGCACGTCGTCCAACCACTTCCAGCACAGTCAGCATGATATACCCACAGCATCCCGCACCAGTCCGAAAGGTCTGGCACTTCCCAAATGTTCCCAACGTGAGCCCTGGGGTCCTGAAATCTCATAAAGGTCCGGCATCAGCCCTGTCCAGCCCATGGCGTCATGGCCAAGCTTGAAGCTCTCAGGAACTGACGTTTCCAGCACAACATGACTGGACCAAACTGCAGCTAGTTAAGCTAGTTTTTCAGATGCTGTGCATCCCAATGCCTCAAAGTCAGCTCAAAGCTCCATGTTCGACGGGTGTTGCATGGCGCTCAAATTTGCTGGGGAAAAGACCCTCCCTCACGACAAACTCCGAATCATGAAACCGGCAGGCATGGCCCTGTTGCACTACTTTGAAAAATCTCTCTCATGCAAAGGCAGGCGACATGCAAGCTGCAGCACCTGGGGTCGAAACACCAGGCCTGTCAGAGATGCACAACGTGTTTTTGGATCTCATCTCTTCGCTCATGCGCCTGGATTGCCGGTCGGAAACGCCACCAGTCCGTCGCATGGACTTTGCATCCAGGGAGCAAAGGCCAATGACACCTTGCATGTCAGAGATGTGACTGAAAGACTTAAACGGATGCACATTACTTAGTTAATTGGAAATATATCAGCAGTGCAAAAGCAGCGGCAGTGACGAAAGCAGATGTCTTGCAACCCGAAACATTTGCCTTGTTCTGTCCCATAGATCATCTGGACGGGGTCGCCCACATGATGCCTGAGACGGAAAACAGCAAGTCGCTTGCCTGTTGCTAGAGCTGAAAGGAGTCGAGTGGCGAGGGATTGTCCACCGGGTTCAAGCCCTGAAAGCCCAGAGCTGTTGCAGAGCCCTCCACCTCGCAAGAAGGCCAGGATCCGGCTGCATCTTTATTGTTGCTGCTCTGGGGATAGCCACGGCTGGCGATTGAGGCTTCGACAGCGAATTCATGTGAGAGCTTCTCCCCCTGATAGACTCGCAAGCATTTGTCCTATATCAGCAGGACGTCGTGGCGAAGCGCCTAGTCTAGGCAGTCTAGTCATCTTTTTTGCGTGTCTGAGTTCTTTCACAGAGTGTCCTGGCAGGCAACTATCGTGCTGAGGATCTCCCCATTGTGCACTGGTGCACAGGTCAGATCCTGAGCTGGCACAGCATATTATATGGTGCTGGAATTGCCATGGGGTTTGTGTCGGGAGGGATGTGAACGGCCGAAAGCCATTGGCTCGACGTCCCACTACTCCCAACTTGGATGCCTGGGGCGACAGTGCCCACAAAAGATACACGAATGATTCCGGTCCTGAGTGAGCGTGGCGTGGTCTTATTGTCCCACGGTCGCTGGCGGCTTATGAGATCTTATGAGGGTGCACTTAGGCCACGATAGTGGCAGCTGGTGGCCCTCCCCATACCCAATACAAAGACACGAGCTGGAAGACATCTCCATTCTGGCCCTGGAATGACCTGTTGTCTTGCATCCCCTACCTGTGTGCTTTGTTGCGAGTGTGCTTGGGTTTTGCAAGACAGTTGGAGGCTCCTGAGGGTGCACGTGCACCGAATTGGTGTGAGCTGGTGGTCCTCCCGCACCCACTAGGGCGACATCCAAATGTTTGCCCTCAGGTGATTTGCCTCTGGAGCAGTATGGAGTGAAAGGTTCAACGGTCGTGCCGGTATTGGTGCATTCCGGGTGGAGGGGAGGGTCGAAACGTTGGTGCTCCCCGCTTTTCAGATCCAATTGTTCCTGCCCCCCTTCGCCAAGATCGCAGCGCTGGCGCTCCCGGGTCTTCCAAGACAGCTGGCGACTCCGCAGAGTGCGCCTGATGGCCCTCCCCAAATCCGCCATAAAAACGCTCGGTGTTGGGAGACATTTTCATATCGTAGTCTTTGCGCTTTGTTTTGGGATTGTGCATGCGGTCGAGCCAGGCCAGCTGGGAGCGGTCCCGAAGGTAGATTTGGGCCACCTGGCCGCGACGGGCATGGGACAAGCACGGGGTGGCTGGCGCAGTGGCTACACGGGCATTGGATGCATTGGCGGCCGCGGCATCCCCACGCCCTTTTCCGCTTTACAAAGCCGGGTCGAAGCGTTGGTGCACGCGGATTTCTTCGCCTGAAAAGAAGAGGGGTCATTCGTCAGGTTTGCCGGGTCCCCGTCTGGAGTGATGTGCTCGGTCACCTGGGTCCGGGGTCCGCCACATCGCCCCCCTGCGCGCGAGCGCGCACCCGCGGTTCTTGGGCGTCTTGCTTGGTTTCCCCCAGGGAATTTTCCCCAAGGGGCTCAGCGTACTGGACTATGGTTCCCATTTTGGGCAATCTCGAGATGAGGGCTAGCTTCAAAGCAAAAGGACAAGCGCTGTCATTACTAGATAGCAAACCGCATGTTCCCCCCTCACCTCCATTTGCGTGTCCATTGGTGGGCCGCTGGGCTTCGGCCTTCTCTGCAAAAGTACCGCCATCAGAGGACACTACAACACACGTGAATACCACAGCACACAGGAGTAAGTAACACCAAGCTTCCCCTTACTCGTTGCGGGTTTGTAGGGGATTGAAGGAATAGCGTGCATCTCTGTCCAGTTGTTTGTCAAGGACGGATTGAAAGTTGAATTAAAACCTTCAGTTTCCCCCGAATTTATGCATCAACAACTGCCTCAAGTCGGTGCGTTGAAAAGAAACTGGGATTGGAGGCCAGTTTGGGCCTAGTTGAATGAGCTTGCGTGAGAAGGATCGAGAAGTGTTGTCCACCCGGCCCTGTTTAAAGAAGTCCACACCCCGTGGTACAGTAAAACACCAGCGAACTGTCATGGTACAGCGTGCAAATCCCCCGTCGAAAGGAATAGGGAGGTCGCCAAGGGTCCGCCCTTTATACCAAAGCAACAACGTGAACACCAAAACATGCAGATCACAAAGACAGGTGGATCCCCCGGGATTGCGTAGAAGATAAACCCTCAAAGTTGCGAGGAGGGTCTCACATTATCAAGCAGCAAGTCGAAAACACAAACATCCTATAACAACACATTTCGCTCTCCCCCAAAGCTTTTCCACGCGTCTCTCACTTCATGCTGCTCCTTCACGGTTCACATGTGCGCTTGGACTTGTTGGACTGCTCGCCATCGGGGTCCAGGTTGGCTGTAGGTCCACACCACTTCTGCGTGGGCTGCGACTTTGTATGCGCGGTCTCGGGGCTCCCTCGGAAGTGGAGCTTGCTCTGTCCGAAGGTCGTCCCATCTCCGCCCACGGCCAGTTGTTGCCCTCACATGGGGGCGTTTTGGGTTGTGGCTCCCCCCTGGTCGTCATCGGCGTCATTGTCCACTCCTCCACTGCTCATCTCTTCAGCTGGCCAAGCATCGCTCTCGCTGCCTCCCCCCCCCCATGTCCACTTCTTCTTCGGCTGGGCTTTGGCCACTGGTGTCCCCTGCGTTGGTGTTGGTGTCGTCCCGCTGCTCGTCCTTCTTGTTCTTCTTTTTCTTTTTCTCTTACTCTTCTTGTCCTTGTGGGTCTTCTTCTCCTTGCTTTTGCGCAGCTCGGCGGTCTGGGTATCAGCGTGTTTCCCCCCATGCCATGCCGCTGCTCTCTTGCCATAGCTTTTTGAAACACCTTCTTGGCACTGGCGAGCAACGAGGTCACTTCCCCCGGAAACCTGCCAATACAGATTCTCAGTTCCTCTTCAACTTTGGGGTTGTATTTCCCCACCAGTTTGACAAGCTGGTCAGCACGTCGTCCTGTCTCTCGTCTCTCCTTGTGTCGCTGTAAGTAGCCTCTCTCTCTCTCTCTCTCTCTCTTATAGCAGGGCTGGTGTCGGCGAGGCGATATCTTGGGATGTGTCGGCGCTTACTATGCTTACTTCATTTTCGGCGATTGTGACGGGGCCTCCAGCCCATAGACCGCACCGAAGACTTGGTTGCCAGAGGTCCGGTCCAGTAGTTAACGGACTTGGAAGAGAGGATATCATGCTATGCGACTAGCGTACTGCCGAGTCCACGAAGTATTTTATTTACGCACCGGCAAACCTATTCATCGGATCACAGTCAACGAATCGATAGCAGAAGGCAGGTGCCTTCCAATAACCTGCAATCATCTGCGGATGCTGAGCTCACCGCGTTTATGCGATCCTTGGTCATCACGAAGCCTGTCCAATCTGCCGGCTGTCAGGAAAGGAGCTTGTCAGACCTTGTTCAGATACCTTCCGAGCCCTTTCCTTGGTTTATTTACCCTGCTGAGTCGGTGCGGCCATAATCTTTGCAGCTGTCGTAGATATTCATGATGTACTCACCTCGGAGGTGTTATCAGATGATTTCCAGAGGCTGCAGAATTCTGTGGGCCCTGTACCGCCAGTCCAAATCATATTCTCCTCCACAAAAAGATGGTTTATCGTCTCTGTAAGGTTCGTCTTGATCTTGACCTGCACAGGCGAAGGAAACGTATGAATGGAAGTACTGCTCATCGCTCTTAGGCGAAATGTTCGAAACCACCCTGTCTGAGGGGAACATGAAAAAACAAACATCATTCCGAGTTTGTTGGTGAACCGCTTGACCTGTTCTAGCATGTTCAAGATCCGGCCTCCGCAATGCTGATGGGCCGTCTAGACGAACATTGGAGGTCTTTCACCCATTCAGCCAGCTCGCACGGAAGATGGAACGCAACAGCAGCGCACGCACCCCCGCTCCGCTCCCGGGTTCGTTGTTCTGTGATTTGGGTTCAGGTTTGAGGGTCGCCCGCCCTTGAAAGGGAACTCCTTCTGGTACCACCTCATTCGCATGTTCTGTTCTATTTTCGAGCGGAGGGGATCATTCAAGCAGCCGTATGCTTGAAGGATTCATGGTCAGTGGAG